ACCTGGCCCACAACCCAGGCATGTGCCCTAGACTGGGAAGTGAACCAGCGATGCTTTGGTTCTCAGGCCCTTGCTCAACCCACTAAGCCACAGCAGCCAGGGCCCACTAAGGGATTTTTATTAGTTTGTTTTTTAAGATGCTGAATCTCAGTCCACATTTTTTCAGAAATCATCAGGCTTCCTGGAGGTCACTGATGTTAAAAGTCCTGGCTTTCATCCCCCTCACACCAGCCCACCAACGTCATGCCAATGGTCTCATCACCAGAATGCCCTTGTATCTGAACGCTGCCAGCTCCACTTACACAGGGAGTAATCACTAGATCTTCATGTAAGAGGCTTTCCCCAAAGTCTCTCTGTGAAGTCCTCCCGGGACTGGGCAGCTGGGAGAGCCAGCCCAGCCTACCGTGATGTGAGAACACAGGGCAGGATCGGAAGGACTTGGAGACAGAGCTCAGTGTCTGTGGGCTTCACGAAAACCTTGGGTTCTGCAGGGCCTGGCTATTCATTGGAGCAGGCTTGCATTTGTAAGCCACACCTGGGTGTGTAACATTTGTGAATCTTTAGTGTTTCTGAACTTGTCTTATGCTCTCTCACCTTGCTCTGGTTGCACTCAAAGTGCTTACAGGGGCCTTGAGACTCCTGCCACACCTCTGAATTCACTCCAGCCACCAAGGCCTCTTTACTGTTCCTTGAATATGTCGAGACGCCTATGCATTGGCAATGCGCAGGCCTCACACTTCCTCTTCACTCCAATTTCAGATTAGCTGTTTCATCAGAAAGTGCCTCTCTTCTCTCTCTATTTAAAGTAGTATGCATACCCTTTACCTTGCTTACTGCTTTTCTAGCACTGATCACTACTGACAGCATATAATGCACTTGTTTGGCTGTTCCTGTCTCTCTCTACTGAAAGGCTAGCTCATGAGAGCAGGGACTTTGTTTTGGTGGTGGCTGTGAAGTCCTGGTACCTAGAATTATGCCCAGCACATAGTAGGTGCTCAATAAGTATTCATTGCATTGTTTCACAAACTCACTGTTACTTTGTTCATTAATGTCTATTTATGTCTCAGCTGGAACAAAATCAAATGTATCGTTTTTTCCTCAGGTTTTCTACAGTCACCATTTCTGGGAAAGCAACACTCCACCAGGAAGCACTTTGATCATGAGAAACCTCAACATTTCTACCTGGACTGTTTTCATTACTGTCCCAGGCTCTGACTATTTCTGGCTCCGACCCATGTTTCTGGGAAATTACTCAATAGGATCATCTGCTCCTATTACTATATTTTTATTGTGAAAGAGTAGAATTCCACTCACAAAAACTCAGTCTATCTAAGGTCAGACTCATAGATCTCTCTGTGCCATCAGATTTCACCCTTGGGTTGCTGCTGTAAGTGTCAGACCAGGGGTTGCCAGTCTGCTCTCTCCATATCCCCTGCCTGTCTCCGCCCAGGTCTGTGACCTCCGGACGTGTTCTTCAGAAGTAGGCCATGACTTGTGACCCACTGGTGGGTGATGAAATTAATATAGTGGGTTATGGACATCATTTTAACAAGAAGATACTATAGAATAAAAAACATTGATGATGGTTTTACTTTGAAACAGTGGGACATAGTCTGAAATGTTTGAGAGCACTGTGCTGGCCTATATAAATTGAAAAAAGTTTTAGTATTATTTTTCTCTTGAGCTATCATCCGAATATTCTAGAATGGTGGGGGGGTTATTAGCACTCTTCATCTCACAGTGTGCTTCTGTTGGGTTATAAAAAACTGTCAGTCTCTTTTAAAATATCGCCAGCGAGAGCGGTCACACCTGTTTCTTTACATTATCTCTCTTGGGGGGGCACTGGGAACTGCAGAACATCCAAACCTCTGCACGAAGGGACTGGACCAATCCTAGCACAGCAGCCTAAGGCCACATGCCTAGGAACACCCAGCCCCCCCTTGAATTTCCGTCTGAAAAACCTCAAGGCTGTCAAAAGAATTCACCATTTGTTCATCAGGCCATGACCTGATGATAGGCCCCTGACTCCCTTTCTTAGTGCATTTACTAAGCAGGTCTTAGAACTGTAAAACCTGCCTCTTTCCCTTTGAGCCAAGTACATTTGAGGTCTGTCCAGGAAGTATCCCACCCCATACTATGACAAATAAAGACATTTATTGAAGAAGATACAAGATACAAGAAGCATTGTACATAGGACAATGATGCCTCAGTCCCCTTCAGAGCAGTCACCTTGGGGACCTCACCCAGTATCTCTTCTACTGTTCAGAACACTCTGCAAAATCCTTTGCTACAATCATGCTCAGCTGCTCCATTGTATTTTCCTGAACCTCACTGGCGGTCTGAAATCTCTTCCCTTTGAAAGATGATTTTAATTTTGGGAAAAGTCAGAAGTTGCAGGGTGCCAACTCTGGGCTGGAAAGGAGCTGAGTTCAACATTCTCAGGTGTTCTGCTTGTTGAAGGCCTTCCAGAACATGGGTCACTTTCAACAGATTCTCCATCATCTTTGAAGCATTTGTGCCACACTTTTATTTGTGCTGCTTTCATTGCATTGTCCCTGAAAGCCTTCTGAATCATGTGAATGGTTTCCACAGAGGAATGTTCAAGCTTCATGCAAAATTTGATGCACATCCATTGCTCTGCCCACTCAGTCATTTTGAATGCGATAGCCACACAGTATACATGCTCACTCAATAGCATCTACCTCCCCCACTGACTGGTACAGTGAAGTCGTCATGGTTCAGGCATGTGCATTCCAGTTCACTCTCCTTGGCTGCCAGATTACATCGATGTTGCACAAACCATTCTCATAATATTAATAATGGCTGGACTTTTTCTGGACAGACTTCATATGTCTCTCCTGCAGCCCGGGAGAGTCTTACTCAAGGACTTGAAAGTCATTCCTTTGAAACGTAATCATCAGGAAGGATAGGGCCTCTGCACCCAATCTCCGTGAGAGGACAGAATCCTAACTTCATGACTGACAGCCAGCAAACACAGCTGGCCTAATCCATTTACTGACCAACCTTTTGTCATCTATTTCACTTCCCTGACTTCTCTTGTTCATTCCTTTAAGAACCCAGTCAGCTGTGCACAACCCAGAATGGGGCTCGGCTTTCCCCTGCTGTCAGTGGTTACTGAGTAAAATCTAGTTTCACCACTCTAGGGTCCAGCTTCACCTATCTTTGACAGCATGTGCGTGCGCGCGCACGCACACACACACACACACACACACACACTCAATCCTCCTAAGGACAAGCACCACTTCTCAGGAACAGTGGGCTCCTGCCGTCCTCATCACCCAGAGCCTTGTTCCTTCTCCAAGTCTCCAGTCAAGTCTTACTTAGCTCTTCCAGCCTGGTCATGATGTCCTCTGGGAAATTTAGTGAAGAGTCATGTACAGGACTCTTTCCTTATAGGGGCAAGAGTTGGGACTCTGCTCCCAAATCGGTCACCACTGGGAGTTTCTCCCTCTACTGCCAAACTGGGAGCAACTGCGTTACTTTGGCTAAGGGAGCAGGAATTTTCTTAACACACAAAACTTCCTAAAGAATCTGTAGCCAGGAAGGCTTGCATCCTTTTATGCTCTTTTCTCCAAATCTCAGAAATGAGGAGGACCTTGAGATGCTATGGTGCTGGCATAGCTAGAGGTGAAGACAAGGAAGGTGATGAGGTTCCTGTGTTTGGAGACCCCCGGGGAGGTAGCAGGTCAGGGGAGCAGGCAGATGATCAGAGGTGGAGTGGGCATGGGTGTGAAGGAAGCCGGGCACACAGGACTCAGTAACACGGAGTCATCTGAGCATGTGAGCAGAAAAGGAAAATCTCTGGGTGCTAGAAACAAACTGGAGGGACTGGTAAGCAGGCAGGCTGATGCTGGCCAGCTGGGGGTGGGTGGGCCTGACCTGAATTAGTCTCCAGTACCAAGGGTCTGTAACCACGGTGACATAAAAAACAAAACAAAACAGAAAATGAGGCATGGGCAGCCCACAGAAGGCAGGGGAGGGCTGAGATCCCATGAAAAGGTCGCATCTTCAGAAACTGGGCTGGGCTCAGGGATGCCACATACAGAGAGTACCAGGAACATGAAAGGAGCCAACAAACAAACAAACAAACAAACAAAAAACACTAAGCTGAGTAGACACCAGGCCCCAGCCCCGCCGCCCAGGCATCAGATCACCATTAGACCCAGCGGAGAAGCTGGAGGGCTCACAGTGAAACTGGGTCTAAACCACGCTTTGACTCACTGCAGCTGGTTCACTGGCTGTGTGACAGGTGGCCCGCGATGAACTCCAGCGCACTTCCCACCCATGAGATGCTGCTGCTTCCCAAGGTTTTCCACCCAGAAAACCCACAGAGGAGCAAAAACCTCTATTTCTAAGGAGGCCCAGGTGGAATGGTCTAAAGCTATTCAGGTGACTCCACATTTCCTTAAAGCCTCAGGTTTTCCTTTTCGGTTGCATAGGACATTTTCCTTACTACTTGCTACATTTTCCTTACTTTTCCAAAATAAACTAAGTCAGTGACAAGTTTTCCAGCAGTTGAGAACCACGGCTGCCTGTGTCCTATGCCCAGTTCCACGTGCTCTGATCTCAGAAGCACGGGTCGGATAAGGCTTTAGGACCGCACAGTGACATTGGTTGGTTAAAGCAGGGCCGAGAGGTCAGACCAGAAACCAGAAAGCTAGAAGGGAGCCCCTTGTAACCAGAGGTAAGACCAGGCAGAATGAGAGTCACATGGTTTGCAAATGAGTTGGTAAAAGTTTGCACAGAGAGGCAATGATGGGCTAGGGGGAGAAAAGCTGTCTACTTCTTGTCAATCTATAAACCAAATCTGGGTAATCTTATCCTATGAAATTATTTATACCCTCTTGAACCCACTGAAATGTTTTAAATTTATACCCCCTAAATTAATTTCTATTCAGATACCATGTACTCATAGCAACCAAAACATGAAAAAATTCTTCTAATAATTGTATACAATATATTCTTATGCATTGCACACACATTTTATTGAATAAATAAAAACTTTATTTGCATATTTACCAAAAACAATATCCTTAGTTTGATCATTTTTTTAAAAAATACAAACTCATGTAGCCAAAATACTTAAAGGATTCAGTTAACTAAGTGTTGACTATTTTTACCTAAAAATATGAAAATCCAATCCATCAAAACTGGTTTTGCAGTTAGACATATTTGAAATATTTGTAGATTTCCATGAAGGTTGACTCTTCATATTATGAGATCTATTACAACATCCAGATCAGCTATTCAGAGACAAAAAGATTTTGCAACCCTAAGTTAGAACTTTATACAAGAAATTCCTGGGGTGTTGCCCCACTTTGAAAATTTTATTACTATTTATTTTTCAAAATCAAGTAGGATAAGTAAATAACAACAGTACCTCAAGGACTTTTATAAATAGCAAAGCTATACTTTTCACAGCTATAAGCAAAGGGTATTTGCATTTTCCTGAGAGCGTAGTTTGCTTTGGGTTCAAGGGCAATGTGTGTGCATGTGTGTGTATGTGTGAGAGAGAGAAAGTCATTGACAGCAGAATGTGATGAAAGCTAAGAGACTTTATCTGTTGATGTTCAGGTAAGCTTAGCTCCATGTCCATTGTAGACCAGCCTTGCCAACTGTGGTCCCTTAACCTTCACTACAGGTTGCACCCCAAGCCTCTGCGCGTCTTTCTCTCGGTCCAGTAAAGTGAGAGACCCAGCCAAGCAGCTCTGAGGCCCTCGAGTACATGGATGTGACTGTTAATGCTGCTCTAACTTGTGCCTTATTTCTAAGAAGTGGGTTCCTTCCTGGAACCCCCTTGGATGGAACCCCTTTTCTTTATTTGCCCCTTATACTTATTAAGCATAAAGTTGTGCTCACAAACTCCAGGGATCCTGATATCATTTTCTAGACATATCATTTTTCTTAGACAGGACCTCCTCCTCTTTCTACCTCACCCTGTTCCTCCCATCCAGGGGCGGTCTGTCCCCACACAGGACCTGCCTCAAGATCCAGTCTGCTGTGACAGGATGTCCTAAATGCCTGGCTCAAGTCCCAGGGACCTTTGCTTCTGGCTCACCGGGACCCAATCTGCCTCATGACCCTGCTGGTGAGTTATGAAAGTTAACTTGGCACAAACTAGATGTGCTTCTATCCCTGGCTAGTGCCTAGAAGTTTATACCTATCAAGTTTCCCCAAAATGATTTGAAAAAATTTTTCCCTGAAAGCTACAGACTGGTAGCTTCAAGTGCAGAACTCTGGATCATCTTAATAGGTATGCCTGCCCACTAACTCACGCCATTATCAAGAATCCCTGTCTCTTGAGAGCCAGGGACGTGAGATTTTTACCCCAAGTCACCTGCATGTCTGATGAGATAAGCATTATATAGAATTCATTCTTTGTCTTCATTTAGGTGTTCAGAACTTGTCCTGAAACTTGGGGCCCACATTTAGAACCAGGTTTATAACAGAGAGATTCTAAATCTTCACTTTCCTAGCACAGGGTTGGCCCACTGACTCTCAAAATTTGCTGCCTTCTCTTACTGAAGAGTGTTTAACAAAAGGAAGAGCGTTCTCCTTCTGGTGGTGGGGGGGGGGGGGGGCGGCGGTGCTCGTCGTGTGTGGCTGTGATGGTGTCATTGGATATCCACTTTGGAAGTTCTTCCCTGAAACCATTTTTGGAATATGACTGATTTCTCCTGTAACTCATAAACGTTTCAGAAGGTGATCTCGGAGAAAGACAAACACGTAAGCAGCGGCCACATCATTAAGCCAAACACACAGCTCTCCAGAGAGACCAATTGGAAGGACAATAAGGACTTGGACGCAGCCTCAAAACTTTACACACATCAAAGTTTTTGCTGACTTGATGAAAAGAAAAATTATAATATTGACATGTGGCATATTTACCTATTTACTGAGTATCTCTGTGGTGGGGATTTGTTTCATTCATTGGTGTTCCCAAAGTGTGACAAACATAAAGAATGACTTGAACGTTTGCTCAATTAAACGAAATTAAATTGAGAGCTTTGTCACAGTTATTAGCGCTCACAAGCAAGTGATACATGTGTTCTAAACTTCCACAGGTGCGTCCGCACTTTCCCGTCCCACTTCCATGGTGGGTAACTGAGCTGTCACATATGACTGTAAGCTCGGAGCTTTTCACACACTGACATGCACTTATGTTTGTCTTCAACCTGAGCATGAATAAGTCTCACTTGCAATTTTCCAAGTCTTTTTTAGCTGCTTTGAATTTTAGCTTCTTCTAACCATAACTTTTCTATGAAAATTAAGCCCCCTATCAAGTTCCAAACTGCCGAGAAGCACAGACTCGATATGCCACATCTGACATGACATAAAACTCTATAAAGAGATTTTAAATCATATGATGAAAATAAAGCACATTGGGTAATACAGTTACTATGTTGTTACCATTGTTGTTGCTTTTAAATACGGCATATGAAACAAGATCTCTTAATCTGTTTCCCCAACGTGGGGATTAGAATGAATTTCCAGTGAGCTCATTTGAAAGCCCTAGCGCTTAAAGGACAGACTCTGGTGTTTGAGTCAAAATCGTGCGAAGCTGATCCAAAATCCAAATAGAAAGGCTTAAAATGACCCTGAAAACTCAGGCTCCAGGGAGGTGGGGTATCAGGGACATGGACCCACATCACCATCTAAGAAATGGGACGTGTGCCGTGGAGAAGAGCTGGTCAGTCCCACGGGGGCCCGCAGCCTGTGGGGATGTTTACGCCTTCTGAAGACAGTGCTCGAGTCTACAGGAGCCCTTTTCTGCACCGCAGCACAACAGTTAGGCACAAAGAGGCCAGGACACTAGACTGTGTGGAAGGCACAACCTGCCTGGTAATGCCAGTCCCAGTGCCAGATGGGCCTCCCATGATCTCCAACAACTAGAGGCTTTTGATGGAGAACAGAACACAAGTTTTTTTGTTCTTTGTTTTTTGGGTTTGTTGGTTTTTTTTTTTAATTTCTTTCAAAGCAAATGGGCCTTCCCTGACCTGTCAGATGAAACAACCTATGAGACACTCCTGACAAGGAACCCAAGGCTCCCACACCAAGGATTCCATATGGTTTAAATATACGTGGGGGGAGGGGAGGAGAGAGAGAGAGAAACACCTTTATTTCCCTGCCTTGTTTAGTGAATCCTTCAGCAAACGTTTCAAAACAAAACAAAACAAAGAGCCAGTTTTGGCGGGGGCAGGGGGATGATGCTTTTGTTTCTTGTTTTGTGCTCTGAGAGAGACAGTTTGTCAGAAAGGGCACTGGCTTGGAAGTTGAAATACCTGGGTTTAGACTCCTGGCTTTGCTACTTGCAATCTGAGTGACCTGGGGCAAACCACTTAGCCTTTCCGAAGCTTGGTTTCCTCACTTGTGAGACGGGAGTGATAACACCCAGCCACTGGTCATTGTGATGGTTAAGTGAATGGATACACACGAGTGCCCGGCACAGACCCTGGCATGGGGCAGGTGTGTCCTGAGTGTAAAGTGTTACTCTTCTTCTCTCCTGAGGTAGATCACGCAAACATTCCTGGCTGCTCTCAAGTGTCCCAAAGACGTGACTTCCGAGGAGCCTCCCCGTGGGGAGCCAAAGGGATTCTGCTGTTTGGCCTAAAGCCCAAGCCGCGCCTGCTGTCTGCAGTGGGCAGGACATGGGTGAGGGGTGCGGAGGGTCCCCGGGCCGCACTGCCCGGCTCCCGCAGTCACACTGACACTGCTCCCGGCACGATCCTCCGGATGTGGGTGTACGACTTCCTGATGGTGACGCTGCCGTGGTGCGACACCCCCCGGGGCAGGACGCACTCCTCGGTCAGTTTCTGGGCCTCCGGGTCCCAGCACAGCACCGTGGCGATGACCTCGTTCTTCTCGTCCCGCCCCCCGGTGATGTAGAGCCGGTTGTTGCAGGGCGCGATGCCGCAGCTGGCCCTCTCGTGGCTGAGCTGGGTCACCAGGCACCAGCTGTCCTCCAGGGGGCTGTAGGCGTACAGCGCTCTCATGGCCCCACCTGAAGACGAAGGGCAACACGATGGGAACTTTGCTACTTTTCTGGATTTCTTCCCCCTTAACCACTGACCCCCTGCTTCCGGTTAAGTCAAATCTACCATCTTGCCAGGAGAAAGTAGATTTATAGCTTTCTAAAAACCCTGAGTCGATTACTAGAGACAGCAAGTGCTGGAGACACTTTAAATTCTGCATCCAGGTGCTAATCAGACTCCAAGGGACGCCTGGCTTCACCTGGCTACCAAATGCACCCCAAGACTGCTCCCTGGAGGAAACACCACCTGGTCCATCAGGCAGACTCCGCTCATAACTCCAGCTCTGCCGCTTTTTGAATTGTAACTATGAGCACATGATTATAAGACGTCAGAGGGACCATGAGCGTGAAGTAACTGGCAGAAGGCCTGGAACATAGAAGCCACCAACACGTGACAGTAACCAGAGGCAGTGGCCCCTCTTTGAACTGAGCATGACCTGGGACACCAGCCCAAGTTACTTGTCTGGAGATCAGACCTTCAAGCAGAGTCATGAGCCTGCCCATACACACAGAGGAAACCTGAAGCAAGGGAGAGAGGGTTTTTTTCTTAATCTCTTCTCATATTTTATTTTTCTCATTAGCTCTTATTTGCTAAAGTTATTTATTTTTGGCATCTCCTTTGTCAGTAGTTCTCAACCCTTGCTGCGCATTAAAATCACCTGTACGTTAAAAACAGTGGCACTGTTGGCCAATGACCCCTTTCCCATCCTAATTTCATCCGTCTGGAGTGAGGCCCGGCCACCCACACTTTTGTAATAAGCTCCCAAGGTGATTCTAATGAGTAGTCAGGATTGAGATCCGTCACCCGTAACAATCCCATGCCAGCTATGGTCTGGCTGGCCAGGCTTTCCTTCTGGCAAACTACAACTTTTCAGAGGCCCCAAAGCAAGTAGGAAGAGTAAAATTCCCATGAATGCCAAATAAGAAATCATGGTAGCTACCATTTGGGGGGTACTCGTCATACTGGCCACATTTCAGTGTCTGTACACGTTCCTGCAGTGACGTCCAGCGCTGTCCCTAGGCCCCGGGAACGATCTGCTCTGTATGTCTCCCAAATGGGGGCTGTCTTCTGCCTCCTGGACTCAAGGGAAATCCCACCAAAGCCTGGACCCATCCTACCTTCACTTTCTTTTCAACCAGGAACTTGTGAGTTCCCAGGGGGGCTTTGTCTGATCTACCCGCAGGGCTGCGTGGGTTTAGACCTCGAATGAATAAGAAGCCATTTGGTCACTTACCAACAACATAGATGCGGTCCCGGAAACTCACTGCATTGATGCATTTAGCCTCCACTGGCATGGACGCCTTTAAACTCCACTTATTGGTTGAAGGGTCATAACATTGAGTCTTGTCCGTGGCCAGTTTCCCATTGGGCCCTCCCCCAATCACATAGAGCTTTTTCTTATGGCTGGTGGCTGCGAAGGAACTGACATGAACAAGGAGGGGTGCAGCCTGCAGAGACACAGGGCCCCGGGAAAAGCTGTCAGTCACATTGCCCAGATGGTTGCCGTGGCTCACGGACACAGGCCGGGAGCCAGGGGACACAAGCCTGGACATCCTTTGCCTGATGTCACGAGGCCTGTAGCCTTGACTCCCCTTTAGACACAGAGAGGATCAAAGCACACGTCTCCCACCCTCCCTCCAGACTGCGGGCAGGTATTGGATGTTTCCAGCCTGTTTCTCCCAGAATTCAGTTCTCAGGTGAGAAGGAGAATTGGCAAGTGTTTATACAGATGAAACCAGCCAGTGTTGGAGAAAAATGCCTTCTCCAGTATGCATGTTCATATTCATCCATGTGTTTATTCACTCAAAAATTATGTACCATGTGCCAGACATTATTCTTGGTGCTTATAATATCCATGAAGGAAAACTAGTAGAAGCGTTTCAGGTAGTCACAGGTAAGCAGACTGTCCCACTCCGGGGCAACATGCAGATTTTGGGATTAAGCCAGACCTGTGCTTATACTCTGTGAATGCCAGGGCACTAAAGGAGACCTCCAAGAGCTTCTTGCCCATTGGCATAACCCTCTTGGGCCATGGAGCAACACACAAGTGCCAAGTAATAGGACTTGCTGAACTAAGAAGATCTTAGGTGCACCCCCTGAAACGTTAAGGGCTCCCCATTTGGCACTTTTCAGGTTGATGGGTCCTGACTGGATGCCATGAGTACCTGGCTACCCTTGCCATGTTTGCAATGACCATTCTGCAATGACCACTCTCCAAAGTGGAACATGCTCTGACATATGAGCTGATAAGAGAAGAAAGTATGCAAATGGAAGTAATCTGGAAATACCAGAAAGTGAGATCACTTTACCTTTTTAAAAATAATTATTGTGGTAAGAATACTTTGCGTGAAGTCTACCCTCTTAACAAATTTTTGAGTGTATAATACAGAATTGTTATCTATAGGCAAAGTGTTGTACAGCAGGTCTCCAGAGCTTGCCCATCTCTATGCCATTGATTAGCAATGCCCTACCTTTCCCTGAGTGTGATATATACATGAGTTTGCATTGTTAAACTCTTGCATGCAGCTATGTAAATTATTATTCGTTAATAAATGAATAAACAATGACTGATTTCTAAACACTGCCAAATGACTCTGCATTGCAGAAACAGTGTACTAAAGGGGTCCTTGTGAGTCCCATGTGGAGAAGACAAGGGCAGAAGGCATTTGAGGACACAGAAACTGTGGGCCACGACATGCACCCAGATTAGGACCAAGCCTCCCCTCTGCATCTGGGGTTCTGGCCAGGAGCCAGAAGGGTGTCATTTCTGTGACCTGATCAGCAATGGCTCCCATGATGAAGGGAGCTGAGAGCCACCAAAAATGTCCTCAGTGGGAGCCAAGTGATCAGAAAGCCACACACCTACATTGACATGTACCCCTTCTTTAAGCTTTGAAGTAATAATACAAACAGAGTTACCCATAGAAGTAATCTCCTGTACCTCTGACCAGCAGTTGTGGAAGGGGTCATAGGTCTCCACGTTGTTGATCCTCTGCAAGCCATCGAAACCCCCGATCACGTAGACCTTGCCACCCAACACCACCATCTTATGCCTCCAGCGGCCTATGTTCAAATACTCAATTTGAATCCACTTGTTGATCGAAGAATTATATTTCCAAACATCATGCTGTGTTTCTTTGCCACCTAGAAGAGATACGGACCATTTAAAAAAACACCAGATGTATCAGAAATACAGCTTCTCCTATAATTTCCCATAGGTCCATAAATGCTAAATCCAACTTCCAGCCAAGATGGAGGCATAGGTAGATATACTTTACCTCCTCACACAACCGAAAGAAGGACAACAACAAATATAAAAACAAAAAATAACCAGAACTGCCATAAAATCAAACTGTATGGAAGTCCAACAACCAAGGAGTTAAAGAAGGAATATTCATTCAGACCAGTAGGAGGGGTAGAGACAGGCAGCCAGAGCAGAAAAGAGGCTCAGCAAGGCAGCAACTGGCCAACCAGATGGTCCCACACTTGCACTTGGAGAAACTGGGAGGACCAATTGGGGAGTGAGACAAAGTGCTCAACCCAGGGTCAGAGCACAGGGACATAAAGCCCCCAAACCTCTGGCTGTAAAAACCTGTGGGTATTGCAGTGACAGGAAGAACTCCCAGTCTCACAGGAGAGTTCATTGGACCAACGGGGTCCTAGAATGTACACAAACCCACCCACCTGGGAATTGGCATTAGAAGGGCCCGATTTGGTTGTAGAGAGCAGGGAAAGTGACTGAAAGCTGGTTGAGAGCTGAGCAAGCAACATTGTTCCCTCTCAGATTCCTCCCCCACAGATAACACTGCAACACAGCAACATGGGTTGCCCGGCCGTGGCGATTACCTAAGGCTCCACCCCTCATAACATAACACATGCACTGAGACAAAAAAAAAAAAAATGACCCAAATGAAAGAACAGATCAAAGATCCAAAAATAGAACTAATCGATGAAGAGATAGCCAACTTATCAGATGCACAGTTCAAAACACTGGTAATCAGGATGCTCACAGAATTGGTTGAGTATGGTCACAAAATAGAGGAAGAAGTGAAGGCTATGCAAAGTGAAATAAAGAAAAATATACAGGGAACCGACAGTAAAGGGGAGAAAACCAGGACTTAAATCAACGGTTTGGAGCAGAAGGAAGAAATAAAGATTCAACCAGAAAAGAATGAAGAAGCAAGAATTCAAAAAAATGAGGAGAAGCTTAGGAACCTCCAGGACAACTTTAAATGTTCCAACATCTGAATCATAAGGGTGCCAGAAGGAGAAGAGGAAGAGCAAGAAATTGAAAACTTATTTGAAAACATAATGAAGGAGAACTTCCCCAATCTGGCAAAGGAAATAGATTTCCAGGAAGTCCAGGAAGCTCAGAGAGTCCCAAGAAAGCTCAGAAGTTGAACCCAAAGTAGCACACACCAACGCACATCATAATTATATTACTCAAGATTAAAGATAAAGAGAGGATCTTAAAAGCAGCAAGAGAAAAGGAGACAGTTACGTACAAAGGAGTTCCCATAAGACAATCAGCTGATTTCTCAAGAGACCTTGCAGGCAAGAAGGGGCCTGAAAGAAGTATTCCAAGTCATGAAAGGCAAGGACCTACATCCAAGATTGCTCTATCCAGCAAAGCTTTCATTTAGAATGGAAGGGCAGATAAAGGGCTTCCAGATAAGGTCAAGTTAAAAGAGTTCACCATCACCAAGCCCTTATTATATGAAATAAGAGACTTACCTAAGAAAAGAAGATCAAAAGTATGAACAGTAGAATGACAACAAACTTATGACTATCAACAACTAACCCTAAAAAAAAAAAAACCTAAGCAAAAAATTAGAACAGGAACAGAATCACAGAAATGGAAATCACATGGAGGGTTATCAGTGGGGAGAGGGAGATGGGGAGAATGGGGAAAAAGTTACAGGGAATAAGAAGCATAAATTGTAGGCTCAAAATAGACAGGGGGAGGTTAAGAATAGTATAGGAAATGGAGAAGACGAACTTATATGTATGACCCATGGACATGAGCTGAGTGGGGTGGGGGGGAATGCTGGAGGGAGGGGGAGTGCAGGGAGAAGGGGAATAAAGGAGAGAAAAAATAATGGGACAACTATAATAGTATAACCAATAAAAATATTTTTAAAAATCCATAAAAAAACAGAAAAGAAATAACACCATACTCTGTTGCCACAGAGGAATAAATAGCCTACAGGCCCAATCAGGACACAGAGTGTTACTTCTTTTGGGGGGGGGGGGGGAACTACATTTCATTTTCTAAGCCATTGACTTGTAAACAATTGGAATCTAGCCTGGTTGTGAGTTAGAGATTGTCTCTATTTCTGTCTGTTTCCATAGTACCTAGCTTTCCAATGGTGTGGGGACTGACTATGGAAGTCGGGGGCAGGCTGGGTGGAGGGGGGCAAAGGGGGAAATTTGGGACCAGTGTACTAGTATAAACAATAAAATATTTTTTAAAATAAAATAAAAATAAATAAATGCTAAATCCCCAGGCCAGTTCCCCTAAGAAAAGAGAAAAGGCATCCTGGAGGGCTATGTGGTCTCTCTGGGAGACAGAGCCAACACAGGGGAACAGGGAGAGACAGTGTAAGTCTGGGGTGGATAATTCTCCCCACTGTGTCATGTGTCACCCCTGTGTCGTGAGAGTTCAGGGAAGTGGTGGGCTTCGAGGAGGTGGGACCACACCCTCCTGTGAAGGTGGGGGCCAGCGGGAGCCTGGATTCTGCATTTGTGCAGCTAAGAGGTGGGACGTCAGGCAGGACACGTAATCTTGGACTGTTGCAGGCAGGGATGGTAGGGCTGCCCTTGACCAACAAGCAAATTAAAAAGCAGCTTAAGCTCTGTGTTTGCTTTGCTTATTTAGTTTTTAAAAATGCAAACCAAGATATCTTCATAATTCTCTTGGTTTATATCTATCTAAAAAATAAGTGGGGGTCATTCTATTCTTAAACAATTTTTGTTATAAAAGAATGAGATGTCCACAATAGAAAACATGAGAGTGAGCTAGTAAATAATTTTTTTCAAGACAATTCTCTTAATAAATGGAAAATACATGATTCAATTAGGAAGAGAGAACAAAACCAAGAACTGTCTTTTTTGGTGACTTTAATCAAATATTTTAACAGCTTTGTGTTTCCATTTCCCCATCAGCACAGAATACCAACTACTTAAAGAAAAGGATGTACTTTTCAGATTTATTAATGGGCCCTAGTGCCCTAGTGCACCAAGGAGTATCACTAGCGACACTTCGTGTCATGGGTAAGTGCTCCTCTAGGATGGAGCCCAGAAGCGGGTTTCCTAGGTCAAGGTTGTACATACCTTGAATTTTGCTAAGTGTTGCCTAAGAGCCCTCTCAAGCTGTCCTGGTTGACCCTTCCCCATACCCCGCCCCCAGAGGATGTGAGGAAGGGTTTTGGATTGTTTGGGGGGATTGTTGTTGTTGCTTTATAGCTTAATGGAGAAAAACAGTGTCACAGTTTGGTTTTCCCTGGTTATTAGGGAGGCTGAGCTTTTTCATCTTCTGTGAATTTTCTGTTCATTTAGTTTAGTCATTTTCCTTTGGGTTGTGTGCCTCTTAGAGGTCTCTATTTATGTAAAACACGGCAACATTGGTCCCATTTAGGTAGTGTCAAACATTATTGCATAACTATAAGGTTTCAAAGAAATGTATGCAAATTATGTTAAAAAGAAAAAAACTGTGAATTTTGCTTTAGGGCATAAAAGACGACCTGATTAGCTAGGTGGGAAGATCGTGTGCATGGGTAAGAAGACATATTATTGCAAAGATGCCAATCTTCCCCAGATAAACCCATTTACTCGGTGCCTTCAGGACTTCTCAGGGAACTTGAAAAGATCATTCTAAATTTCATTTGGAAGGGTAAATTTGGAAAAATTTCTAAGGAACTTTTGAAAAAGAAGAATGAAGAGGGGGGCTTTCCCTAGCAAATACCAAAATGTACTACAGAGCTGTAATGAAAACGACGCAGTGCTGCATCAGACTACTGACACGGATGGATGAAAAACAAGAGTACAGAAACATACTAAAAGGTATAGAGATAATTAAATAAATGGTATTAGAGCATTGGCGATTTATTTAGGAAAAAAATGAAGTAGATCCCTATTTCACATTACTCTTAATATAAACCTCAAATGCACATGCTATAAAGTAACTAATTGTATATAGGAAAAAATACTCATGATCTTGGGGTGGGAAAGGGCTTTCTAAGCAAGATTAGAATCCCAGAGTCATATAAGAAAGTTACTATATAAAATATAAATCAAAAGACAACCACAGCCTGGGAGAAAGTGTTTGCAATACAAGTAGAAAAAGGTATATGATAAGAGCTCCAGAAACTGAATAAGAAAAAGACAAATAGCCAATAGAAAAACAAAGGATGTGAACAAATTTTAAAATAAATACAGTTAACTAATAAATATATGAAAATATGCTTGACCTTATTCATGATCCAAAGTGTAAATTTAAGCATTCTAGGTTATTAAAAATGTAATTAACTGATAATAAAAAATAACAAAAAGTGTTAGCCAGGATGTAGAAAATGGCCATTGTTATTCATCATTGGTTGAACTGTAAATTGGTACAAACTTTCTGGAAGACGATTTAGCAATATCTACAAGAATTCCAAATTCACACATCTTATGACCACTTCCAGGAATCTCTCCAACTAGCTGCACAAGTTCATAAACACACGTGCGTAAGAATGCCTGTTACAGTATTGCTTTAGTAGGAAAACAAAACCTGAAAAAATATTATGGTTCATTCATTCAGCAGACTGCCCTGTAGCTGGTAAAAAGAATAACGATAATGACAATGACACTGAAGATGGCTAACACTGTGAGGGTGTCCCCACGTGCTTGCGAGTGTGCTGTGCCTCACATGTATGATACCACTTAATGCATGTATAGATGTATTATGCCAACATGCAGTGGAGTGGAAAATGCATTGTGACTTGAAGTACAAGTTTCTGCTGATTTAATTGTGTATAACAAGCACGCTGTCATGTATTGTTTGTATCATTTTTTTAAAAGACAACAACAAAGCCCTAGCTGGCATAGCTCAGTGGATTGAGTGCGGGCTGCGAACCAAAACATCGGTTCGATTCCCAGTCAGGGCACATGCCTGGGTTGCAGGCCACGACCCCCAGCAACTGCACATTGATGTCTCTCCCTCCCTCTCTCTCTCTCTCTCTCTCTCTCTCCCTCTCTTCCCTCTCTAAAAATAAACAATAACCTCTCTTCCCTCTCTAAAAATAAATAAAATTTTAAAAAAGACAACAACACGTTTAAGAGAGGGGAAAAGCAAGTTGTAGAACAGCATGCAGTGAATGTGGCAAAGACTGGCTGTGACTACCAACCCTGTCTTTTCCTCCTGGGCACAAGGTTAAACTACATTTCCCAGTCCCCCTGCAGGGGGTGGGGGTGCAAGGAAGGCATGTGGCTCAATCTTGCCAATAGGCTGTGAGTCGAACTGACGCCTCACATCCAAGCTGAGGCCATGATGAGCAGCTGTGCCTTCTCAAGTTCTTCATTTTCTCTCTCTTCTTGAAATGAAGACCATATATAGAAAACAGTAGCATCACAAGATGGAAGGAGCCCAGCCAGGTTCCTGAACAAGCAGGACAAACCCTGCATGCTGTTATGGTAATTTTCTTAGATATAGAGTTTGCTACTGAAGCTGTCGTTACTTACTCTAAGACAGTATAAAATCATTTTTAATTAAAAATAAAGGATTGTAATGACACAGAGAAACTGCCATATTTTATTTTATACTTTCTCTTACTGGAATCTTCTCCAACAATTAAAATACACTTCTACAAGATAAAAGAAAGCTATGACCTAATCTGTGATATTCATATATCTGAAGAAGAACTGACCTGCCCTTGATTTTGGGGGAAGCCAGCTCTGGGAAGCAGCTCTTCCAGAAATAAGTGTAGATTACAGAACACCTTCTAGGGAAGGGAAGGGATACTTGTATCCTCCCTTAGGACCCCAAGAAGAGCTGGGCGGCTTTTGATGTCATGGGGAGAGCGTGGAACTCAGAGAACCTGGCTGGAAACCTGCCTGACATTTACCTGTGTGCGGCCTGAGGTACATTTCATCAGCTTTCTGAGCCTTAGTTTTCTCTATTTGTAACCTGGAGATTTAAATCACCTACCTTATAGAGTTGATGTGAGAGACAAATGATTAAATGCTACCAAAGTGTAAATCCATCTATTCTGCTGTAGAGATGGTAAAAATGTATGTCATTTAACAAATATTTGTTGAGCACTTACTCTGGTGGCCAGACACAGGGCCAGGTGCTGGGAATGGTGTTGACTGTCATAGAATTTAAAGACTAATGGTCTTCAGGCATAAAGTGATTGCAGATATTTAATTGACCTGTTTCAAAGTAAGAAATGAAAAGGTACTGGGTGCTACTGACGAATCTAAATGTATGACCCAATAAACTTCAGAGGTCGTGTTTGGGAGAAGAGCAGCAGACATTTTTATTCATTATTGTATTTCCAGTGCTGAGCTTAGTGTATTATGCCTATAGCAGACACCAAGTAAATTCTGGTATCATTTTCCTGGTTCCTCTTCCATGAAGGAGTGGGCCTCTCTGCCTACTACTGCCCCAGATCCTAGTACAGTGCTGCTCACAGGTTAGTGTTCATTAAGTAAAAATGTGCTTTCCAAAGTAAGACCACCTGAGCTCCCACTTTTCATAGCCTGACCCAGTCAGAGCTATATCATTGCCATTCATATTACTTCTTCTAGGACGACGGCCGAGCTCAGGAAAATACGTAGTGCCACTGGCAGCTTGCTTTGGCATTGCATGGCTCCTGCTTACCTGAGATGTAGACCTCATTTTTTAATGTCACGCATGCAAACTCCACCCACTTCTTATTCTCACTCTCCAGCTCTTGCTCCGTCATCGGGAGCTTGGCCACCTCCAGGCGGCTGCGCCTCAGGGGGTCCAGGCAGGTTACCTCTGCCACAAACCGCTCATCCTTCGTGCAGCCACCAATGATCATGAACACCTCAGACTGGAACTCGTGCATCCTGGGCTTGGTGCGCTCCGAAATGATCTGGAAAACCAACGGGAGTGCAGAAAAGCAGGGTGACACAGGGGTTTGAAGCTCAGGCTATGCAGTCAGCAGAGCAGGGCCCAATTCCCAACTCTGCCATCGTATGGCCAGGTGACCACCTCCTTGAGCCCTGGTTTCACCGTCTGCATGTTAAAGATTTTAATGGTAACTACCTCACAGGTTTGTCGTGAGAACTTGCGATCATATACATAGTGTGTTTGGCCCAGAGCCTGGCACATAATCGATACTTGATAAAGGGTATCTGTTGTTGCTTTGCTGCCATTTCAAGAAGTCCAGGTTTGTTTACCATCAAATGCACTTCCTGCTTCTCCCTTCCTGCCTGGATGAAGCCCTGAAGCCTGGAATCGCACTTCTGGCCGCCTTCCACTCCCCACCTCACTTCAATGTCCTGATGATATGCCAGACTTCGCTCACTACCAGACTTCTTCTGGAAGAGAGTCCTGACAATGGGCACAATTAAGCATCCAGGGCCTTAGGAGTAAAAAAACAAAAGGGAGCAGCGTAGGGCCCAGTAGGTTGGAGAACTGGGTCTCAGCATCAAGAATATGATGGCTTTAGAGCCTTGAACAAGCAAAGAAATCCACACCGTGGATATTTGAACCCAGCTGAAAGAGCAGAGGTATGGAGTCAAATACACCAGAGTTTTATCCTGGTTCCACCACCTATGGTCTCATGGAAAAGTGACACAACCTCTATAAATGCCTGCAATCATTTCTAGGCCATCAAGTCTTGATCTAGATCAAGGTGGTCCATGGAAATTTAGGAGGAGATGAAACAAAGGAGCAACTTTCTCAACCCCAAAGGACCTCTCCCAATGAGGGTACCAGGTACCACTCCTAAGTTAAATGTAGACATTTGCTTTTAGGGTTCTAAAATGTCCCACTGTCATCACCTTCATGAACTGAGAGGAGGGACAAGGTTAGGAGGGAGACATAGTGATAGGACAAAAAGGGTTAAAGTTTGGGAAAGAAAGGTTAAGTGAGTTCTGTGAGTAGCCTCCTTGCGTACACTGTTGTCATCAGGAATAAACCCAAGATCATTCCATGAGTGAGCAGACAGGAAGTTTCACAGAATCAACTGGTAATGAGACCTCAAGCCAGGGATCACAGTGGTCGGTTGGTTCAGTTGCTCAGGCTGCAAAATGAGAATGAGAACATGCCTTGAACTGGATTTGGGGCAATAGGGCAGCCAAAACTTAGGACATGATGAAAGAGAGATTTTAGCCTGACACAAAGAAAATGCTTGATTGTGGGAGACAGAGCATCATGAAGAAACTGACTGAGCATAAGAATAGTCTTCATTTGTGGAGCATTTACCATGTACCAGACCCTGTACTGAGCTCATCTCATTCATTATCTTATTTAATTCTCAGAGCAGTTCTAGCAATTGGTAGGTATCATTATCTTCATGCTGCAGGTCAGGGCTGAGCTTTGGAGCAGCTAAGAGTCCAATTTACTGTAAGAAAATAGTGCAATCAAGATTAAAGCCAAGACCCTCCTGATTGCAAGTCCAAGTTCCTGCCATTGGGGACTTTTTAAATATCAGAATTCTCTTTACTCCTAAACCAAAGTTTGTTTTTTTGTTTTTCTTAAAGGAATGTAGGGGGGTTTTTTTAAGATTTTATTTATTTATTTTTAGAGAGGGAAGGGAGGGACAAAGAGAGAGAGAGAGAAACATCAATGTGCAGTTGCTGGGGGCCATGGCCTGCAACCCAGGCATGTGCCCTGACTGGGAATCAAACCTGCGATGCTTTGGTTCTCAGTCTGTGCTCAATCCACTGAGCTACGCCAGCCAGGGCCTAAACCAAAGTTTGTAATCCCACTCGTCACCACCCCCCCACCCCACTGCAAATACAAAAGGCAGTGCAGATATCTTACAGCGGCAATTTTGCAGAAGATATAATAGAGATATTTTATATCAGAGAAATGCCTTCATCATCTGCATTTCAGAGACTTAATAAATGGGCAGCAGAAACAAAAAACAGTCAGAATGTTGTAAGTACAGTTAATCAACACTCTGAACTTTAAACGTTCAACTGAAAATAGTTGCAGAAATTGACAGCTGTCTTCAAGTGTATGAGGGTTTTGATTCCCAGCATTGGGCTACCTGCCAGCGACCTACATACCCAACATGAGATATGACCTGGACTTGCCTGAACTCCATCCATCACTCTACTCATCACCTTTCATTTGCTTAGTATCCTGTCTATGTTTAGCAAGGCAGAGACTGTTCTGTAGTGCCGGCTGTCACATCTGGCATGTAGTTGCAGTTCAGGATTTATTTGTAAAAAGTGAAAGTATAGCATATTAAAATATATGAGATGCTGTTAAAGTAGTACTTAGGGGGAAATTTATAGCACTAATGACAATATTAGGGGGGGAGTGTCAAATCAATGACCTCCACTTCTACCTTAAGAAACTAACAAAAAGAAGAGAAAATTAAACCCAAAGAAAGCAGAAGAAATGAAATAATCAAGATCAGAGTAAAAATAAGTGAAATAAAAAACAAAAGCAATAGAGAAAATCAAATTAAACCAAAAGGTTGTTCTTTGAGAAAATCAATAAAATTGATAAACTTCTGACCAGGGAAAAAAAGACTGATCAAGGGAGAAAGAGGAAATACAAATTACTGATATTTGCAGTGAGAGATGTGAGTGACATCACTGCGGAGGCCGCAGGCATCTAGAGGACAGTAAGGGAATACTGTGAACGGCATTAGACCAGTAGAGTCAGTAATTTCTATAACATGGAGAAATTCTTTGAGACACAGAAACTACTAAAGCTCATTCTAGAAGAAAAGAATGACCTGAATAGCCCTATATCTACAATAAATATAATTTGTACTTATATTACACACACACACACACACACACACACACACACACACACACACACACAACTCCTGGTTCTAATAGCATCACTGGTTAGCTCTACCAAACGTTTAAGAATATGTTTGCAGAATAAATGAATGACAGTGAATCTGGAGACAACGCAGAACTAGAAAAGACACACAGGGAAAGAAGAGGCTCTCAAGGGGCTTCAGACAGATCATTCCTAAGCCACTTTTGGCTAAGATATCTACCAATGGCCTAATTTAAAAGGCTTGGTAACCAATCCCAGAACTATTATAAGTGATATATATGTGTGGGTTCATGTGTATAAACTTAACTGTCTGTATATCATTACTTCCTGATTGTTTTATTCCTCTCCACTAAGCCTAGTTTTGTCTTTACACAGTAATGAATAAGATATTTCTTCAATTGTTAGAGACCCAGGTAGATTCAAATGATATGTATAGTCACCATCTTGGTCCCCATTTGTTTACTCAACAAACATTTCTCAACCATTTATGAAATACCAGGGAACTTCCTAAAGTCTGGAAGTGAAAATTCCAATACAACATATACTTTCTACCACAACACACTCCCAGCCTGGAGATGTTTACAGAGGAGGAATCCAACGGTGAACATGTAGCCATTGGTGTTATAACACATCAATGCACCAGCTGCTATGAGAGTGAGAGAGGACTCTGGAGAAAATGGTGCTTGAAGTGAATTTTGAAGCAGGAGCAGAAGTTAACTAGATGAAGAAGAGGAAAGAGGCATTTGAATAGCACCTGCATCAGCCTGGAGGCTGAAAAAGCAGGTCCACTTTGGGGAATTCCAAGCAGTGTGTTTGGGCTGTAGCAGAAGAAAGGGGCTGGTGATGGCACCTAGAGAAGCGGGCAGGAGGTGAAGTAGCAGGGCCAGCTCTGGGGGCTAGGGCAGGAGGTGTGGGCTCTATCCCAAAAGTGGTGGGGAGCCAGTGGAGAGAGAAATGATTAGGCTTGAGTTTGAGATCATCCAGCTGGTGAATGAACTGGAAAAAGGATAGCCTGGGGACAGGAAGGTGAGTTTTGAGGAATTTTCAGAAATGCAGGAAGGAAATAATGAGATCTGAACTAAGGGAACACCGGGTTCCCCAGAGTGGGCAAGAGCTAAGCAGCACCCTGTAGAAGGTGACTGGACGGGGCACATTTTGTCCATGTGTGCATCACCTGCGCCAACCTCCCGCCCTTATACAGCTGGGAGGAGGAGGGATGCTCCAGGCACGATGCTGGGAGACTTCTGTATCTCACCTAATCCTCTCAGTAGCTGTGCACATTGCAATATCATCTGCATTTTACGAATCAGAAATCCAGGGCTCCTGGAGCTGCCTGACTCACACTCTAAACTGTGTAGCATCTTCTTTTTGATGCCTTAAGGATTTGCCAGCCAGACTCACCTATACCTCCATGAGGCCCACTAGCTCCGTTAGTTTGCTGTTTATCGGTGGCACCTCTCATCTCACCTCATTGCCAGAAAGGTGGTACATCCTGGCCTCCTGGAGCAGCGGGAAGACCTCCGGGCACTGCCTGATGAGAGGATCTGCTTCCACCGTCTCCACAAAGTACCAGGGGTCCAGAAGTGGCAAGCGCACGTTCTCCAGGATGTAGGGGAGCAAGCAGAGGCGTTCTGACTGTTTGTGCCGCACCCAGCTCATCACAGTCTCAAACACCTGAGCCTCCTCCGTCACATATAGGTCATCACTCTTCAAGATGTGGTACAAAGTGTCCACGGGAAGTTCAAGGAACTCCTCGGCGTTCAGAATCTGCACAAAGTTCTGGATGATGTAACTTTGAACCTGCTTCTTTAGACTGTCCAAGGAGTGGGTGTCTGCCAGCCTCAGTATTCCAACACAGTTTTCTGGATTCAAGGCTTCCGTGAGGAAGCTGGCGCAGGCATCCACCATCCGCAGGAACTAAGAGAATAGAAAGGCAGCAAGTAAGACCAGAAAATGATCAGTCCACAAAGACATTTTTCAGTGAATTGTTTGTGGTAGCAAAAAATTAGAAACAACCCAACTTACCAACAATAAGGGGCTAGCTAAATACATGACCATGCATTCATATTTTTGACAGCTCTGTAGTCATTAAGAAAACATGTTGTAGAAGAATATTAAATGGTATAGAAAATTTTTACAATGCTTTAAGTTTAAAAATCTGTTCATGGAATCTGATCAGGCCTCTAGATTTGATCAACAGCTACAGGGAGTAAAGCTGACCCTTGAACAACAGGGGGGTTGGGCTGCTGACCTCCAGCGTAGATGGAAATCCATGTGTAACTACATGCAGGGGAAGAGGAACATGTCAAATGACACCATGGGAAGATCAGCAAAATCCAGACTGTGGGAAACTACACAGAGCAAGCAGTGCAGTTTTTTCCTGAAATACACCACAAGGGTGGGGGTGGGGCAGGGAGGGGGGGCTAAGGGTGAAAAGACATTTAAGAGACACATCAATAGCTTTTGCAAAACAGGAAACTATTTGGATCCCTGATTTAAACAAAATAATTTTAAAGGTCAGAAATTTGTTCATGACTAATATTTGATGATATGAAGCAATTATAATTTTAAGCGTGATGATGGTATGGCTATGTTTAAAGAAGAATCTTACCTTTTAGAGATATGTTCTGAAATATTTGCAGATGAAATGAAAAAGCACATCACAAAGTCACTAGTACATTATGATCCTATTTTTATAAAGAAAACATATGTAGAAACAGGCCTAGAGAAAAGACTGAAGGATAATATGATCTCTCAGGGTACAGGCACCGTAAGACTAATTATGCTGTAGTAACAAACAACCCCCAAATCTCTACAGCGATGAAAATGAAGTTGTAAAATTGATTGGCTTTCATGTCTTATTTTTCAATTATCATCATCCTCATAATATGAGCCCATTATGTATATATAGCCTTTTACAGCTTATAGCACAGTCTTATCATTGTGTTATTTAATATTCATTTTACAGATGAGGTGTCTCAGATGCATCAGTTCAGCACATGTCAGTGTGGCTCAGTGGGTTGGAGCGTCATCCCATAAACTGAAAGTTCACAGGTTCTATTCCTGGTCAAGGCACCTACCCAGGTTACAGGTTTGATCCTTGGTTAGAGCAACCACGAGAAGGCAACCAATTGATATTTCTCCTTCACATTGATGTTGAGGGAGAGAGAGAGAGAGAGAGAGAGAGAGAGATTCCTTCCTCTCTCTCTAAAAACAATGAAAAAATATCCTTGTGTATGGATTTTAAAAAACTAAAAATCAAATGTATCAGTTCATTTCTATTCTTTGCACTCTGGAGCTTAGTTTGAACAAGTCCAATCTCCCATCTCCCCTCTTGTCCACTGGGCCCCTTACAGGGTCAAATTCTCAATATTCTTGAGTTGATCAATTGGTAGAAGATTGGAAAAAGGGAGCATGGCAGGGAGGGCTGTTCTGAAGATAGGACCTGCTGAGAGCACACACAAGCGGGCCTGCCAAGATGACAGCTCTACTGACAAGACTGGCCGTGGGTGGCGGGGGTGTGTCAGGGTTGTGGGGCCTGAAGGGTGGGGGTGGGCACAGGACTGGTTGTAGCATGGACCATATTGACTTAAGCTTTGCCCTTCACTCTAGAGCAATCTAGGGACACACATCCCTGACTTTTTTAGTCATTTGCAATTGCAAAGTCTTATCTCTCCATATCATACCACACTTTCCAATTGCCACTTTTAAAAACGTTGACCAAGAGTCAATGCACTGTTGGAGAAAGCCTGAATTCTGCCTCAGACCACCCTGTCTGCTGGCCCCAACCACCTGCAGATCTGCTCCTCGCATGAGCAACTGTGGAAACCGTTGAGACTGAGAATTCTAACACCTGTTCAGTTGTTCACAGATTTTCAGTTCAAAGAGTAAAAATACACAACCGAGACCAAGCCTTGCTGAGCCCTCAGAACCTATAACCAGAGCCCTTTGTAGCCCTGCCCACAGAGACATCTCTGAGGGCTTTTGAAAGGGAACTGACTTAGGTGGTAGCCTCCGGAGCAAAACAGCAGGTAGACCACACCAGGGTTTGCGTGAGAAGAAGATGATATGAAAATCAAATCCAACTTCTAAATATGTAGACTGTCTCTGGGAGGCCACCTAAGAAGCTGGTGAGAGTGACTGCCTCTAGGGAGGGGACCTGGGGACCGGGTTCAGGGTAAGGGGGAAGAATTACTTCATACGATTTACCTCTTTGTAACCCCTTGAACTGTGTGCCATGAGGAATTACCTATTTAAAATAAAGTGAGTTTCTCATGAATAGAGGAAACACTAGAAGGGAAGACATCAAAATGCTAGCAGTGCTTATCTCAAAGGTCATTTTATAAGGTTATTAATTTGGGATTGTTCTTTTTTTTACTTTTCTACATAAACCAAGTTTTCTACACTAAGCATGAAGTTGCTTTTAAAGTCAGAAAAATGAAATAAATACTGTCTTGCAATTTCAAGTACACAGTGAGAAAATAAAATGTCAAAAAATATCATAAAGAGAAGCTAAAATGCACCAGCCCCTTTATATTAACTAGCTCACTCAATCCTCACAACAGCACTACAAAGTAGATATGTATTAGCATTCCCATTTTATAATGAGAAAACCAGATTCAGAGAAGTAAAATTATTTCCTAAGAGATGTATAAATAATAAGTAGCTCTGAAATTTGGAACACTCTTATTTGATTCCAGAAATGCATGTTTCTACATTATTTCAAGCTGCCTCCAGTAAACTAGTGTGTGTGCAGGACAGTGGCTTTGCAGATGCCAGACACAATTTATTTGCACACTTCTCTGGAGAGCTCAGCAGATCTGATCTGCCCAGATGCAGGGAGGCCTGGCCAGCAAGATGCCAATTCCTGCCCCTGCTTGATCACTGTTGATGAGCAAAGAAGACACCATGAAAGAGAATCAGATCAAGCACCGAAGCTCCCATTTTCTAGAAATATGGATCCCAACGTGTCTCTCCCCACTCAGAGCCATGCATTCATCATTCATCCACTTGTTCATTTCCCAAACGTGTGCTGAGCCCATGTATGTGCTAGGTTCTCAGCTAGTGCTGGGGGTGCAGAGAGTGGGCAGAAAGAGACACAGCGCCTGTGCTCACTGGAGCCGGCAGACTGGTGGGGGAGGCAGTAATCAAATAAGCACGCAAGTGTAAAATTACAATTGCGATAAATGCCAGATAACACTCTTCAGTGATTCTGCTGCTTGAAACTGAAGACAGTCCTACTCCTACCCCTCCAGCCATGCACAGCCTGGGTCTAAGCTGTCACCAGGACTGTCCCTGCTGGAACCTGTTGGCACTCAGACCTGTCTGCTTACCTCTCTGCACATCCCTTCCTGTCCCACTGGCTTTCTGTGCTTACGCCACTCCCTCGGCCTGAACCAGCTTCTCCCTATGACTAGTCCTGTTCTCCTTAACCAGCAAGTTTGATTCCAGAGCCCCACAACAAGTGGGGGACTCAGGATAGCTCCCCCTGAAAAGGAGAATGCTTTTAATTTTCCCTCAAGAAGGAGGAAGAAATGAGTACCATGACCACAACCTTATCTACACAGGGCTGTTTTCCTCACTCAGAGCATTGAATCCAGGACCAATAGACATTCTCCAGAGAGCCCGTGAACCCCTATCACGGTATGCAAACATTTGTGTGCCCGTGTGCCATTTTCTGGGAACTGACTTTGCAAGAAACACTGAGTTACTTTCTAGTATCCATCCACTGAAGGACAAAGTCAGGGTGAGAGAGGACCAGAGTCTTAAACAGACTATGCTTTAAGCCTTCTCTGACTCTGGACATTTTTAATTCTGGGTCAATACTTATTTAAGAAGAAAGAAAGAGAATGGAAGGAAAGAGAAAGGAAAGAAGTAGAGACATCCCCCCATTCATGAAGTTCCTTCTCAGAAACACTCTTCCTTCATCATTTCTCCAATTGCCCAACATAGAGTCAATTCCTCCCTCCTCTGTGTTCCACTGGGCAGCTCACCCCACTTGTGGAGCACCAATTACATTCCTGCCTGTACTATGGTCAAGGGCAAGTTCTAGGGCATACTTGTGTTTTTACTCCTAGAAGCACCTAGCACAAATTCTGGCAAAAGAAGGAGAGACAGAGGAAGAAAATATTTTTCAGATACCTAGTATGTATGAAAATCTGTGCTAGAAACTTTTCCATGCATTATTTTATTTAATGAATACACTTACTTTTTAGCAAATATATTTTAACAAGTAATAATGAGGTAGATATTAGTATTGCCATTTATTTGTACAGAGATGGAAATGGAGAATTTGAAGAGTCAAGTGTGTTGCCCAAGGTCACACAGCTAGTAGGTGTTGAGATGATGCTGAGCTCACAGCTAGCTGACTCTTCCCACGGGGCATTACACTGCCTTTGTTTGTAGCTGTTGCGCTGTTGAACTAACACAGCTTGAGAGCTTGAGAGGTTTTATGAGGACAAGGGTGAGTGAAGATCTCCAAGTTGCCTACACATGTTCCCTCCACCCCAAAACATGCCTCCATAATGAATGTGAGGGGTGTAAGGCAGTGTCATGTGATCCCAGCCAATGGCTGGAAACTGCTGAGGAGCAGGGCAGTCCAGGGGACAAGAAACCAGTTTGCTTTAAGTATTTTTTGTGCTTCTTCATAATCAAGTTTATTTAAGGCTTGAGAGTAAATTTTCTGTCTCAGCCTGTCCCATTGGCACATGAACTTGTTTATTAAAGCTGAGCAATGATAGCTAATGGCAACAGACAACCAACTTCCTGTTTGGGGAACATGTGAGCGAAAGGTTACAGTCAGGCACCTGACTCTTGAACGGGGAGACTAAAAATACAATAAAAGAAAACCACTTGAGACCTGGCTGCAGTTCCCATGAGAAGCGTCTGTGTTGAAGAGAATGCACCCCTTCCCCCAT